GCATGGTGTCTGTCTTCTGCTCCCAACCCTCCCCTAATGGCAATCATCTCCTGGAAAAATTGAACGTTTCAATGACAGTGCCCATGACAACATGAACTAAACCTGTAAACCAGCAAATTAAAGTCCTCAAGCCTGTGAAGCTAAATGGATGCTCTGTATTCATTCGCAGACCAGTTAACTCTTGCTTTAAACCAATATACTGACAGTTTGCCAAGCTCAACGGCAATACAAGGATTACAAGCGTGTTTATTATGTTCAAATGTGTTAAAACGTGTTCTGACAATGAACAGGGACATTATAATTTTTGCTGAAATTATAGAATTAATTGTCACGGATCCCCCCGGTACTGCTGCTCATTCCGTTCACCAGCTCCGGAGGTCTACGTCACCGTCCTTCTAGGTGTCACTGAACTAGACCATTACCACCAACCCCGGACTGTCTTGTCTCATTACACACACATTTCCCATTCCCCCTGATTAGTATGTGTATATATGTGCCCTCTGTTCCCCATTGTCCTTGTTGATAATTGTCCTATGTCCGTTGGTCTCGTGAGTACCGTGTATTGTGCTCTTGTTGTTTACGGGTCCCGTGTATTGTGTAGAGGTTACAGCTCACTCTTTTTTTGGGTTACATCCCTTTTGAGATATATAATATACACACGTGTTTGTTTTAGGTGGAGTAAATAAAACCCCTAATACATATTTCTGCGCCTCTCTTCTAATCATTACACAATGTGACATAAATACTGAATACATTGTATTGAAAATGTATAGCATTTCTTTAAATAACATGAAATATTTCAAATTAACCTGTAAATCTTTAAATTACAATAAAAACATTGATAATAAAATTGATTGTTTCTTATGTATACCAATATTCTACTGTATATTGCCTGCAATTATACATGACTGTGCATTGTTGCTGTGTTTGACATTGCTTTTACTTTGTCATTGCATAGTGCTATGACAGGTTATCAAATTATCAGCACCTGATGGAGATAAACCTATGAAAGATTCATGTATAAGCTTGTGAAGGATTAAGGGCATGTATGAGCCTAATGCCCTTCACATCTGCAATATGCTGTTATATACAACAGGTGGGTCTAATCAGTTACAACCGCATTCCAGCCAGTCTATTCCACGTTACAACCGGCTAAATCTAAGACGTTAAAATGCCTATTTACTCTGATCCATCTGACTGCGCAATCCACTGTCTCATCAGCCCAGCCAGGCAATTTATAAACTTGATCTCCACTATAAAAAGCATCTAGACATTATCTCACATTTCTTTTAGACTAACATTTAGTTCTCAACAGCTGAGATTTGTACAAACCTTGCTGTCTGTCTCTCTGACATTTGCAACATTGTTTCAATATTCAAATTTGATCTCCAGCTGTCACATAGTAATGAATGTGTGGGGATGAGAAAGACAGGCCGGCAGCTTTTCTCAGCCAGTCGAAATCATGAATTAGCATCATTTTTATGGATATATACAACGAAATATCAATAGAAAACAGGTCATGGATATATACAACGAAATATCAATTGAAAACAGGTCAAAACTAAACAGTGCAGCTAGTTAGCAGTCTTTTAAGTGATTGTGTTAGCTGTGTTGTTGGCTAGCTCCTCTGAACAACAGTGTCCTGATGAGAGAGCACATTTTCTATGCCAGGTGAAATCGCGCATCATTAGGTCATTGTTATGTATCCAAATAAATGTCACTAGAAAACAGCTTAAACAAATGCAGCTACTTTGTGGTTTTTTGGCTGCACTGTTTGACGTGACTGTAAATTAGCCGTAGTTGGCTAGCTAGCAAGCAAGGGACAATTACGTTGCCAGCTAGTATGGCAATAGAACATTTAGAAAGAACGACTGGGTCGCGTCCATAGATACTGAACAAAAATATTTAACGACTGGGTCGCATCTCTGGCAACCGAACCGATTGAACGAACGAAGGACCAGCCAGCTTGGGTAGCAACCAAAGATTTGGGTCGGGACTATATCTTGTGGAAGGATGAAATAGTATGAATAAATTCATCAAAATAACGTTAATGAAAATATGTAAATCATTATTTGAATATGTTGGTAACCTGTTATAAAAGTGATAATGCCCTTGAAGCCTGTGTTTGGAGGATATATTGGCACGGTTTGCCGGCCCTCGACTGGGGCCTAACACCAGTGCCAATTTATCCTCCAAACACCGGCTTATCGGACATTCTCACTTAAATAATCCACACTAAGGTCATCAACAATTTGCTGGCATCCTGTTCATTGAGGGAGTGCTTGCATTATGCATGTTGACACCAGATAGCTTAATACAAAAAGGTATAAAGCTTTATATATTTATTTATATTTCTAAAATAATTACTGATATTGCATGTCTGAAATGTTAGTGTTTGCCAAATAAATCAACATAAATTGAGAGCATGTATAAAACCAATTGCAATTAGGCTATATCAGTGCAATCTCATTATTTTGCAAATGTATTAAAAATATATATACACTGAACAAAAATATAAGAAACCTGCAACAATTTCAAAGATTTTACAGTTCATATAAGGAAATCAGTCAATTAAAATTAGGCCCTAATCGATGGATTTCACATGACTGGGAATACAGATATGCATCTATTGGTCACAGATAACCTTAATAATAATACAAAGTAGGGGCGTGGATCAGAAAACCAGTCAGTATCGGGTGTGACCACCATTTGCCTCATGCAGCGAGACACATCTCCTTCTAATTGAGTTGATCAGGCTGTTGCCTGTGGAATGTTGTCCCACTCCTCTTCAATGGCTGTGCGAAGTTGATGGATTTTGTCTGGAACTGGAACACGCTATCGTACAAGTCGATCCAGAGCATCCGAAACATGCTCAATGGGTGACATGTCTGGTGAGTATGCAGGCCATGGAAGAACTGGGACATTTTTCATTGTGTACAGATCCTTGCGTCATTTATTATCATGCTGAAACATGAGGTGATGGCGGCGGATGAACGGCATGACAACGGGCCTCAGGATCTCGTCACCGGATCTCTGTGCATTGAAATTGCCATAGATGAAATGCAATTGTGTTCGTTGTCTGTAGTTTATGCCTGCCCATACCATAAACCCATCGCCACCATGGCGTACTCTGTTCACGACGTTGACATCAAATCTGAAATGTAAAAAATGTAATCAGCAAACCACTCGCCCACACAACGAGTGGTTTGCCCGGTACAGTTCATACTGGGATTCATCCATGAATAACACACTTCTCCAGTGTCCATCGAAGGTGAGCATTTGCCCACTGAAGTCGGTTGCGAAGGCAAACTATAGTCCGGTCAAGACCCTGGTGAGGACGACGAGCACGCAGGTGAGCTTCCCTTAGACGGTTTCAGACAGTTTGTGCAGAAATTATTCGGTTGTGCAAACACACAGTTTCATCAGCTGTCCTGGGCTGGCGTGGTTACACGTAGTCTGCGGTTGGAAGGCCGGTTGGACGTACAGCCACATTCTCTAAAACGACGAAATGGCAAAAGCTCTAGTGGAGCATGCCAATTGCAAGCTCCCTCAACTTGAGACATCTGTACCATTGTGTTGTGTAAAATCTGCACATTTTATTGTGGCCTTTTATTGTTCCCAGCACAAGGTGCACCTGTTTAATTATCATGCTGTTTAATCATCTTCTGGATATGCCACACCTGTGTGGGGTTCTATTTTCTCATAATTGGATCTGTATGTGATGAATAGCTTAGAAGGAATGCATTAATGATAAGCATAGGTTTGTACTATACTGATATAAATTGTTTCACATAACAGGCTGTGATTCATGTGAGGAACGTTAGGGGGTAGGACAGATAAGACTTGTATTTCTTACAGATACGAACACTGCCTCTTTGTTGTCTGTGAACCGTTGTCTGTGAACCGTCCTTGAGCTAGGTACTCACAGTACAGTACAGTGGAATGGTGTCTTTTGGGTGCTAACTCCACAGGTTGTTATGATAAAAACTTATGCCTGGCAACAGTGTGCAACAAGGGAGCGCCAAGAGGCTGGGACCAGCCGGTGCGCCAACGGATTGGCTGAGTAAGTCTAAACCACGCTCAGTCTCTACTCTGATTGGCCAGCAGGGAGTGGGAAATATCTCTGTCAGAGTATTTGAAGAAGAACCTGTAACAATGGATTAGTTCTCTGAGTGCCCTGCGTGGTATTTCAGTGGACCCGTATATACGAACCTTCATACTTATCATACATACATTTTGCATATAATACATTTAGCTTGGATTGAAGATCTCTTGATTCTTATTCCAATACCAGATTTGAATTACGCAATTTCTAACACCTGTCAGGTGGATGGATTATCTTGGCAAATGAGAAATGGTAACTAACAGGGATGTAAACAAATTTGTGCACAAAATCTGAAATATCAAAGATAAATAAGTTTTTTGTGAGTATGGAACATTTCAGGGATCTTTTATTTCAGCTCATGAAACATGGGACCAACACTTTACATATTGCATTTATATTTTGCAATATATTCAGTATAGATGCAAGCATCAATAGCAAAATAGAAGGTCAACATTTTCATTATGTCACCTTGATGAAAAGTGATACGGTATATCCTAACACTGTCCTATTGCAATGAAAGGCTACTGCACATGTTGGTGTGTTAATAAAAATGTAAAGATCTAAAGGTACAATCTGTACATCTAACAGCCTGACCCTGCCACTTTGTTTGGTAAACTGACTGATGGATGAAAAAATAACCAATTTGTCAAAAATGGTCCCAGTATTTGTTGTCAAATCTTGAAAAAACAACAACAACATGACGTTAGAGCGACAGGACATATAGTGTTGACTATCACTGCACTGCTCAATAAATGAACCCCTCTCGGCACCGGGCCCCTCCCTCCCGGGCCCCTCCCTCCCCGGGCCCCTCCCTCCCCGAGCCCGAGCCGTTAACGGGGAAGTAACCGCGGGACCTAATCTCTGACCTGAAAAAACTAGCTATTTCCGTGGTTGCCGACACAGTAATCTGTCCAGTCCTCAACGAGCTTTTGGCAGGAGAGTCCGAGAAGCGCTACCTACAGTTTCACACTGGTAAGTCAAAGAGAAATCTGCTCCGCCTGGGTAGGTCTCTCTCATTCATGGAAGTCGGTCCATTAGTGCTTCTCGGTCTGAATTGAAGCATTGCCGCCACGTCCTAGGATATAGCTTCTGGGTTTTCATGTTAAAAAGGTAGTTTCAACATAATACTTTTTAGCATAATGATAGGCTATTCTGCGCGTGGATGACATTCAGATCAAAAAGGTCCATAGACGTACAACTCAAGTTCAATAATTTATATGTAAATACATATTTGAGATTGTATTGCAATCAGAATCGTGTCAAATAAGATGTTTTTAACAGGCTAATTCGAGTGATTGCGCAGGGGATGCTGCAGCCAACTTCGTCCATCCGCAGCTTTGAGTGCAGAGCCATAGAAAAAACCACTGGATGTGTGACGTCCCAGCGAATGTCGGTCTCTAAATATAAAAGTACGCTCTGTCCTCTCGCATTTTCCCACGGCGTTTTCTACCAGTGTTGTCCTTGCATTGGCCGGACTGCCTGCATCCCTAAAGGCAATACTACCTGTGGCTTGAGTTGTTATAAACTTTCAGGTAAGGCAGTCCAGCTTTAAAGACACCCCTTACCATCTGAGAACTGTCTTTAAAGTTGAAACTTACCTAGAGTTTAAACTAGCCTAAAGTGCTGATCAACAGATTTACAACATCGTTTAGATACTTTTTTTTTTCTGATAGCAAGGATTGATACTAAGGATTTTGTTCTCTGTATTTATTTTCCTCTGGGGAAAATAGTCATTCTATTCTATTGTATTCTCGAATTGTGTGTACCATATCCATCGTCTGAAGCTGCACTTATATCTATCTTATGACATGGTGTAATTCTATGATTGCACTGAACACTGTACTGTTCCTGGATGTACTGATGTTGTTCCTGGATGTACTGATGTTGCTGCTTGTGCTGTATAATGCCCACAGAATGACAACACATTGATGTGGGTAGACAGCGGACTCTACAGTGTGATATCAGGGAGGTAAAGGAATAAAAGCATGACAGGTGGCTGTGGGAGAGAGACTGAGAGGGACGAGACAGGGACAGAGCTTCATCTTATCATAGTTGGTAGTAGCCAGAATGTATGGGAGGACATACATACATACATTTTGGCTTTAGCCTATGCTTTTTTATTTTATGCTTGTCATGTGGCTACTGTATTACCTGTCTGAGTGACAGATTTGATAGATCATTTGTCTGACAGTCTTAACAGTGGTTCAGAGCAGTTTTCATTTGTCTAACATGGTTTTGACTATTTGGATATCAATGGAACAGACTTCCTAAGAAGATAGTTGGGAAGGACATTTGCGAGGTAGTGATGTCAAAATTGCTTCATACTTTCAAGATTGTTCCCTTGGTTTTCCTATGTGAAACTATACAAACAATCTTGCTTGTTTGTTACCATCTTCAGGATATTGTTTTTCTTTGGTCTAACAGCTACACTTTATTTCCTAAGGGTTGTTTTACATGTAGAAATTGATTGTTAATTCTGTCAAGAGCTCTGGACATGTTCCATAAATTATCGAATCCTGTCCTTGGCTTGGTTGGCCTCTTACACTGTGACTGTTCCAGGCAAGGTCAGGTTCTACAGATCATACATTTGTAATCTCTTATATAATAGAAACAAGGCCAAGCTACAGGGTAACTTGGCTGCATAAACTAGGGCCTACCGTAGCTGTAATCTTTACCAAACAGTTTGGGTTGATCAGCCAAGTTACCTAATTCAGAACAGCAACAAAACAAAAAATCAGGAAACTTCTGTAGATATTGCATCTACAGCTGGTTTGGATGTTCACTCTGAGTTAATCTCAGAGTAATAGAGAATAATGGATGCTCAATGATTTTACCATTGTCTGTCTATGTCAATCATCTCTCAATCACCTAACTAATGATTTAGCAGCCCTGTTAGACATACAGTGGTGTCAGACTGTCTGGCATTATGGTGCGCTGTACATGGGCCAATGGAATACAGATCTGTTTTACCTGTGTGGCTGCAGACAAAGTGCTGCAAAGTGCTCCATTCATGGCTCTGGGAAATGTCATAATCCAAGAGGACATTGTGAGAGTGGATGGGTGTGGATACAGAAATTATTATTTTGGGGTTTCGCAATAGCACTGCAGAACATATGTGAGTAGGAATCTAGGAAACACTCATCTCATAGCCTATGAGATTGAAGTATACTCGATTCTGAAAATTGGTGTTTAATGACACTCCTTCGTTTTTTCCCATTGTTACAGAAATCCCATTTAAAGAAGCAGACATGGGTCGTAAAGAAGCCGAATTTGACTGGAAGAAGACCACTGACAACATCCAGGAGGTGTTTGACTTCATGGAGGTCCTTGGATCGTAAGTACAGCCCACACCCACCTACCTACCATAGGACCATTTCCCTACCTCATTAGAACATTCATTCTAGGAACAAGAGTGCAAATAACCTTGCAAATACATCACTAGCTGAAAATCTGGAATGGATCTGCTAAAAGGTTTCTCTTTAGAAAGACACTGTTTTGTTTTAAGTTACATGTGACCTCATTGGGGAAAGAGAGAGAGAGACCGATTGGATTACCACGAGACCTACTTTACAGGTGTCTTATAGACAAGTCACTGTGGCAGCGCTGAGGGTATCGGTCCTACACCTCCTGATGACGTCTGGTACATCAGATGGCTCATCAGATCATTCACAAAACGGCCAAGAGAAGTCGTCTATGGAGCCATCTTTAGCTTGATATTCATTGAGTTTCAAATTCCAAACTGGATTTTGATTTCTTTGGTACAATCTTGGCAAAGGGTGAGAAGCCCACAAGATTCCACAAGAACTCTTCAAATAGTTTTTCCAGACATTTTTAATGGCCTTGTAGAAAATGTGAGTTATTGTAACCAGTGGTGTAAAGTACTTGAGTAAAAATACTTTAAAGTACTACTTAAGTAGTTTTTTTTAGGTATTTGTACTTTACTATTTATATTTTTGACCATTTTTATTTTTACTTCACTACATTCCTAAAGAAAATAATGTACTTTTTACTCCATACATTTTCCCTGACACCCAAATGTACTTGTTACATTTCGAATGCTTAGCAGGACAGGACAATTGTCCAATTCACAAACTTATCAAGAGAACATCCCTAGTTATCCTTACTGCCTCTGATCTGGCAGACTCACTAAACACAAACGTTTAGTTTGTAAATTACTTCTGAGTGTTGGAGTGTGCCCTTGCTATTCGTAAATTTAAAAAACAAGAAAATGGTGCCGTCTGGTTTGCTTAATATAAGGAATGTGAAATGATTTATACTTTTACTTTTGATACTTACAGTAAGTATATTTTAGTAATGACATTTACTTTTGATACTTAAGTATATTTTAGCAATGACATTTACTTTTGATACTTAAGTATATTTAAAAGCAAATACTTTTAGACTTTTACTCAAGTAGTATTTTGCTGGGTGACTTTCACTTTTACTTGAGTTATTTTCTGTTAAGATATCTTTACTTTTATTCAAGTATGACAGTTGGGTACTGTTTCTACCACTGACTGTAACTAAGTAATTTGAGTAAATGTAACTAAGCAGTTTCAAATGATTTAGATAGTAAATATTTATCCAACACAAACTATGTGCATTGATTTTGCACCATTCAAACTAGCCTCATGTTAGCGGGGTCAACCAGCATGAGTAATCCATGGGGTCAATCAAATGTTCTTGACTGAGCTGTCCTGTCTTACTGAGCCTGTCATGTTGAGAGGCTTAGGAAGCGGTGGTGGTGGAGAATAGATCTGGGGCTGGGCCAGAGGTAAATGAAGGTGTGTAGGCTACTGCTGCCTAGTGGTCAGACGTCCCTGTACTGTGGGAACACAGACTTGGCTGGACTGAGGATTGGATAGGCAGATAAGAGAGGAAGCCATGTAGACAAACTACATTTGTGTGAACATACAGTATGTTTTGGAGAACATTGCCTCTTAACTAAGAAGGGATGTTCTTTTGGAATTTCCCTGAATTGAATCTTGATGTTAAAGGCAAAAATGTATGGCAGAATGAAGGCAGTTCTACTTGTTGCTGCATGATAAGTGATGTAGGTGTTCTCAGCAGAGACCTACTTCAATTTGACAGATAGAACCTCTGAAATCACATCTGGGGAAAATATCACAAAACAGAAATGTATAAAATAAGTCAACTATAGTGAAAGCATAATACAAATATAAAAGTAGCATCATTTTTTCTGAATTATACAACTCTTCTCTTAAGGCAGGGTGATAGCTTTGCGTAGTCAGGAGGGGTCAACTTGGCTCTGCTGGTGTCAGGCTAAGGGTGATCAGGTGAAGGGCAGACTGACACTGATAATCTTTCTCAGTTTGGAACAAGGATCAATGAGTAGAAAGAACAGCTAAATGGATGGAGAAAGCTTGGACAGGTGCTCTATAGATCCGATTATACTGTACTGTACAGTGAAACACCTGTATGTAAACCAAGGCCCCGTGTTTTCTCTCATTTGCTCTCTTTAGGCCTAATTTATTTCATTAGCATACACACAGAGTGGTTGCTAGACTACAGTGTTTGACGATAAAGATATCACCATAACAAATTAGCACAGAGCAGTCCCTACTGTATTTCCTTCCTATGTTCCATCACAAGGATCTATCTAGGGGAATTAGGGAGATCCATTGGATAAGGCTTTATAAAGCTAAACCCACAGAACACAACAAAAACACAATCTAGTTTCCTGGCAATCTGACATACAGTACTGTACCGAGGCTTGCAGTCCGTCGTTACACACCTGTCTCTGGTGTAGATATCATCCCTATCCTGATCTTTCCCTTTATCATGTCTGATTTCAGCAGTCAATGGTGTATTTAGTCTATCTTTTGTGTTTTCAAACTGTACATGAGGAGAGTGTCTGACAACAAGCTTACTAATAGCTGCCTTGCATCCCAATTCATTTACACCGGATGCTGTTTGATTGATAATATCCCTTGTGGGTCATAATGAGAATCATTGGGTTCTCTGGGAGAAGATGCAGTGTAGTTTGGGACAACATAAAGATGTCAGAATGTCTGACTTACGTCCTGGGGCCTACCTCTGTGCACAACTGAATTTAATGAGACGATGTGAGATAGCGTGAGACACAGCTGTCATAATAACTCTGCCTGCCTCCATGCAGTAAGACTCGTTGGGACATGGGACTTTCTGCTGCAGTTGAAGCAATCTCTGCTAATTATCTTTAGAATTAAGGTAGTTAAATCATGTAACCTTAATCTTGCAGTGCTCTCATCTTGCGTATGTGTTCCTTAGACCTTCTTCACTGGCGTAACCCAACAGAAATGGGCAGCACTTTTGCGGTACAGTATCTTTTGTCAGCCCCTCTCTCCAGGTTGTGTATGACCCAATATATAACCTGGTTGCTGCTGCTTGGGGTAGAGGTCAATTTGTGCCGGCTGCACATGCTTCGTTCGTCCACACCTCGAGCCTGCCTGCCACAGTTTCCGTTGCGTAAGGGATAAACAGGCTAATCCCAGACAATGGACAGGACAGCTATTCCCAGACAATGCTGAAGATAGCTCGGAAACTGTACAGAACACAACATTGAGTGAGCCCTTAAGCCACTCAATCCCGTCTCAGACCTTAATAAGCCCTTTTTCCACAGTATTCTGTTTTGATATCCTGCACCTCTCTCTGCTCTAAAATCAAAGGGTGCGTGTAGGCCACCTGATACCTGAAGAACAGAACAATAGAACCTATCAACGGTGTATTGCAAACATGTATAACCTACTGCAGGTCCATAGGAACTGAAGCCTACATCACAGCATTGCACTTTTTTTTTGAAGAAATTACAGAAAAAATAATTTATGTCAGAAAATTACATCTCAGTATCTCATTTCACAAACAGTATCACCTCAGTGTTATGACATCACACCCATGAGGGCTTGACTAACAGTGCCCTTCATATTTTCTTATGGAAAATGGCAGTCTTCCTAATGGGGAAAGAAGCTGATTTCTCAGATCCTATGTAGTAATTGCACTATTATAATAATTGAACTAACCCTTTACCTATGTGTTTGTGTGATCATCCAGGGGGGCGTTCTCCGAGGTGTTCATGGTGAAGGAGAAGAAGACAGGCAAGCTGTTTGCCATGAAGTGTGTGAAGAAGAAGCAGAAGAGTATTCAGAATCTGGAGAATGAGATTGCCGTGTTGAGAAAGTAAGAGTTTAAAACGTTCAATTGTCATTCAGTCCCATTTCAATTGGATGAACCTTCACTACAGCTACTGTATGTTTCATTGCACTTTCATCTCACATGCTAAACATTACCTATATTTTCTCACTCCCAGGATCAAACACGATAACGTTGTTGGGTTGGAGGATTTCTATGAAAGTCGCTCTCATTACTACCTTGTCATGCAGCTGTAAGTTCAACATGTTTTACCTTTTACCTTTAGAATGGAGAAAATACAATGATAGTTATTTCCTATAAAAACCCTTGAGTACACACAAACTCCACAAATAATAGTTATTGCCCATTGATTTAATGACAGCCACATTGTTCTGCCTGTCTGAGTTTGGGATCAGACAGCAACTTAACACTCAAGTCAAATGCAGAAGCATAATGCTCATGGATAGAGTTTAGAGTAAGGCTGACTTAACTTACTTGACTTAAACGCCTTTACATTATGAGGAGCATATGTCATCCATAAATGTTAGGCTGAGAAATGTTTCCGACGCTCAGTTCATGGTTAAGGTTAGATTGAGTCAGCTTTAAGGTCTAAAGATTAACGGCTGTTGTTGTTCTCCCGAAAGCGTTGCTGGGGGTGAGCTGTTTGACCGTATCCTGGACCGGGGGATGTACTCAGAGAAGGATGCCAGCAGGGTCATCCAACAGGTGCTCCAGGCCGTACAATACCTCCATCAGAATGGCATCGTGCACCGCGACCTCAAGCCGGAGAACCTGCTGTATTACAGCCAGGATGAGAGCTCCAAGATCATGATCAGTGACTTTGGCCTGTCCAAGATGGAAGACAACGGTGTCATGTCCACAGCCTGCGGCACTCCAGGATATGTGGGTAAGGAAGGAGACATGTTTGGCCTTTACAGATAATGAACTGTGTGTATGGGTGAGAAACTGGGTCAGAGGAACCACACTCAAACACATAAGGGAGACAACAAAGACATTACAAAACCTAATAACCTAGATCTATGATCTATCTGTCAAATACCATACAACACTAGTTGAGTTAAATGAACTGAACTTGGAGAATTGTTCTTACTTACTCTGTTTCCAAACCTTCAGCCCCTGAAGTCTTGGCCCAGAAACCCTACAGCAAGGCAGTGGACTGCTGGTCTATTGGAGTCATCACTTATATCCTGTGAGTATTGCTCTCATTGATAACCTCAGGATATGTATAGGCTACTGTAGGGTATAGTTGATTGCATGTCAAGACTATGTATCTGACCAGGTCTTTGCAGGCAAGAGTGCATTTTTGGTTTTCAAGCTTGTTAGTCTAATCAAGGGTTATCTTTAGCATGATGAAGGCATAGTCACACTAATTCTTTAGTGCCACTGGGCCATTCCCTCAACATGTACTGTTACAGTGGTGGAGTTAGAGCTCCATCTTGTGGACATTTAACACAGACACACACACTGTATCATTTCTTAAAGACACAAAATTACACTGCATTATTATTTGGTCTCTCTAGGCTCTGTGGATATCCTCCTTTCTATGAGGACACTGAGACGCGACTGTTCTCTAAGATCATGAAGGCACAGTACGAGTTTGACTCTCCCTTCTGGGATGACATCTCTGAATCAGCCAAAGATTTTATCCGCAACATGATGCAGAAGAACCCTAAGATGCGCTTCACTACAGAGCAGGCTCTCAGGCATCCCTGGTGAGTTTCATGATCAACAACATTATTGCTTCATCTGTTTTGTCTGTAACATCTACAACAACATTATTTGTGGTGTCCAGTGTGAGGTGTATTCAGGCTAGCCTGGAAAAAGTTTCGGTTTCAATGACAGGAATGCCAAACTGAATTAGTGAGTTGAAACAAAGGTGAAATATAGCAGAGGAAGTTCAGGCGTAAAAACAAACAAAATATAATTATTGTAAAATTGACTGTGTCCATAAAATGTATATAGTATGTATAAGCTGGAAGTAGAGGCCTAAGCGTTGTTCTTCACTAGTTTACTCCAATTAGGGGAGGGGTGGTGGGGTTGGAAAGTAATAAAGGGAAAGATGTTTTAAAAAAGGATATGTGTAGATATGTATGTATATACAGTACCAGTCAAAAGTTTGGACACACCTACTCATTCAAGGGTTTTTCTTTATTTTTACTATTTTTTACATTGTAGAATAACAGTGAAGACATCAAAACTATGAAATAAGACATGGAATCATGTAGTAACCAAAAAAGTGTTAAACAAATCAAAATATATTTTATATTTGAGATTCTTCAAGGTAGCCACCCTTTGCCTTGATGACAGCTTTGCACACTCTTGGCATTCTTTCAACCAGCTTCACCTGGAATGCTTTTCCAACAGTCTTGAATGAGTTCCCACATATGCTGAGCACTTGTTGGCTGCTTTTCCTTCACTCTGCCTTCCGACTCATCCCAAACCATCTCAATTGGGTTGAGGCCGGGGAATTGTGGAGGCCAGGTCATCTGATGCAGCACTCCATCACTCTCCTTATTGGTCAAATAGCCCTTACACAGCCTGGAGGTGTGTTGGGTCATTGTCCTGTTGAAAAACAAATGATAGTCCCACTAAGCCCAAACCAGATGGGATGGCGTATAGCTGCAGAATGCTGTGGTAGCCATGCTGGTTAAGAATTCTAAATAAATCACAGACAGTGTCACCAGTAAAGCACCCCCACACCATAACACCTCCTCCTCCATGCTTTACGGTGGGAACTACACATGCGGAGATCATCCATTCACCCACAACGCGTCTCACAAAGACACGTTGGTTTGAACCAAAAATGTCCAATTGGGACTCCAGACCAAAGGACACATTTCCTTGGCCCAAGCAGGTCTATTCTTCTTATTGGTGTCTTTTAGTAGTGGTTTCTTTGCAGCAATTCGACCATGAAGGCCTGATTCACACAGTCCCCTCTGAACAGTTGATGTTGAGATGTGTCTGTTACTTGAACTCTGTAGATGTGTCTGTTACTTGAACTCTGTGAAGCATTTATTTGGGCTGCAGTTTCTGAGTCTGGTAACTCTAATGAACTTATTCTCTGCAGCAGAGGTAACTACGTCATACCGCTCAGGAAGGAGACGCGTTCTTTCTCATAGAGATGAATGTACTTTGGTGTGAAAAGTGCAAATTAATCCCAGAACAACAGCAAAGGACCTTGTGAAGATGCTGGAGGAAACGGGTACAAAAGTATCTAGATCCACAGTAAAAGGGGTCCTATATCGACATAACCTGAAAGGCCGCTCAGCAAGGAAGAAGCCTCTGCTCCAAAACCACCATAAAAAAGCCAGACTACGGTTTGCAACTGCACATGGGGACAAAGATCGTACTTTTTGGAGAAATGTCCTCTGGTCTGATGAAACAAAAATAGAACTGTTTGGCCATAATGACTATTGTTATGTTTGGAGGAAAAAGGGGGTAACTTGCAAGCCGAAGAACACCATCCCAATCGTGAAACACGGAGGTGGCAGTATCATGCTGTGGGGGTGCTTTGCTGCAGGAGGGATTGGTGCACTTCACAAAATAGATGGCATCATGAGGAAGGGAAAATTATGTGGATATATTGAAGCAACATCTCAAGATATCAGTCAGGAAGTTACAGCTTGGTCGCAAATGGGTCTTCCAAATGGACAATGACCCCAAGCATACTTCCAAAGTTGTGGCAAAATGGCTTAAGGACAACAAAGTCAAGGTGTTGGAGTGGCCATCACAAAGCCCTGACCTCAATCCTATATAACATTTGTGGGCAGAACTGAAAAAGTGTGTGCGAGAAAGGAGGCCTACAAACCTGACTCAGTTACACCAGCTCTGTCAGGAGGAATGGGCCAAAATTCACCCAACTTATTGTGGGAAGCTTGTGGAAGGCTACCCAAAATGTTTGACCCAAGTTAAACAATTTAAAGGCAATGCTACCAAATAGTAATTGAGTGTATGTAAACTTCTGACCCACTGGGAATGTGATAAAAGAAATAAAAGCTTAAATAAATCATTCTTTCTACTATTATTCTGACATTTCACATTCTTAAAATAAAGTGGTGATCCTAACTGACCTAAGACAGGGAATTTTTACTAGGATTAAATGTCAGGAATTGTGAAAAACTGAGTTTAAATGTATTTGGCTAAGGTGTATATAAACTTCCGACTTCAACTGTATATACACTGCTCAAAACAATAAAGGGAACACTTAAACAACACAATGTAACTCCAAGTCAATCACACTTCTGTGAAATCAAACTGTCCACATAGGAAGCAACACTGATTGACAATACATTTCACATGCTGTTGTGCAAATGGAATAGACAACAGGTGGAAATTATAGGCAATTAGCAAGACACCCCCAACAAAGGACTGGTTTTGCATGTGGTGACCACAGACCACTTCTCAGTTCCTATGCTTCCTGGCTGATGTTTTGGTCACTTTTGAATGCTGGCGGTGCTTTCACTCAAGTGGTAGCATGAGACGGAGTCTACAACCCACACAAGTGGCTCAGGTAGTGCAGCTCATCCAGGATGGCACATCAATGCGAGCTGTGGCAAGAAGGTTTGCTGTGTCTGTCAGCGTAGTGTCCAGAGCATGGAGGCGCTACCAGGAGACAGGCCAGTACATCAGGAGACGTGGAGGAGGCCGTAGGAGGGCAACAACCCAGCAGCAGGACTGCTCCTTCGCCTTTGTGCAAGGAGGAGCAGGAGGAGCACTGCCAGAGCCCTGCAAAATGACCTCCAGCAGGCCACAAATGTGCATGTGTCTGCTCAAACGGTCAGAAACAGACTCCATGAGGGTGGTATGAGGGCCCGACGTCCACAGGTGGGGGTTGTGCTTACAGCCCAACACCGTGCAGGACGTTTGGCATTTGCCAGAGAACACCAAGATTGGCAAATTCGCCACTGGCGCCCTGTGCTCTTCACAGATGAAAGCAGGTTCACACTGAGCACATGTGACAGACGTGACAGAGTCTGGAGACGCCGTGGAGAATGTTCTGCTGCCTGCAACATCCTCCAGCATGACCGGTTTGGCGGTGGGTCAGTCATGGTGTGGGGTGGCATTTCTTTGGGGGGCCGCACAGCCCTCCATGTGCTCGCCAGAGGTAGCCTGACTGCCATTAGGTACCGAGATGAGATCCTCAGACCCCTTGTGAGACAATATGCTGGTGCGGTTGGCCCTGGGTTCCTCCTAATGCAAGACAATGCTAGACCTCATGTGGCTTGGGTGTGTCAGCAGTTCCTGCAAGAGGAAGGCATTGATGCTATGGACTGGCCTGCCCGTTCCCCAGACCTGAATCCAATTGAGCACATCTGGGACATCATGTCTCGCTCCATCCACCAACGCCACGTTGCACCACAGACTGTCCAGGAGTTGGCAGATGCTTTAGTCCAGGTCTGGGAGGAGATCCCTCAGGAGACCATCCGCCACCTCATCAGGAGCATGCCCAGGCATTGTAGGGAGGTCATACAGGCACGTGGAGGCCACACACACTACTGAGCCTCATTTTGACTTGTTTTAAGGACATTACATCAATGTTGGATCAGCCTGTAGTGTGGTTTTCCACTTTAATTTTGAGGGTGACTCCAAATCCAGACCTCCATGGGTTGATCAATTTGATTTCCATTGATAATTGTTGTGTGATTTTGTTGTCAGCACATTCAACTATGTAAAGAATAAAGTATTTAATAAGATTATTTCATTCATTCAGATCTAGGATGTGTTATTTTAGTGTTCCCTTAATTTTTTTGAGCAGTGTGTATATATATATATATATATATATGCGAGAGGAAAAAAACATGGGGGATTGGAAGTGATGCAGACAATCACATTGATGGAAGTTACAATCTATCTGCAATATTAAAGCTGATGTGCCCCCTAAAAAATTATGATGATAATAATAATAATAACAAATAAAAATAAAGGTGAAATATAGCAGGATTTAGTCTAGATTTCGAGGCTAGATTCAGGCCAAAACCATCAGGAGATTATAATGTTATTTTCGGTTGTCTCTCCTTCAGGATCATTGGAAATACAGCACGGAGCCAGGATATTTACCACTCTGTCAGTGTCCAGATGCAGAAGAACTTTGCCAAGACCAAGTGGAAGGTGAGCCTTCCTCCCATACTGCTCAGTCAGGGTTCTGTCTCTCTCCCACATCTTAGACATAATCCCAGTGTCTTGTTTATGTGCACGACACGTCTGATCTCTTTCCTGATTAAGGGCCATGATATACTGTAAACATCTGGGTGTTATTCAACATCCCTGATTACTCATAATCAAGTCAATATCAAGATCACTATGAAAATTATATGCCCAAGCTTTGCCCAAATAAAGCACCTCACCTAACTCATGATGATGGTTATCACCATGGTAGCGCATACAGTACTTTTCTCTTAGCATGTTGCTCATCAACTGTTGTTGGTGTGTCGTTACAGCAAGCCTTTAACGCCACCGTGGCCATCAATCACATGAAGAAGCTGCAGCTGGCCCACTCTGAGCTGGTGGTCAAGGCGCAGACCCTCAACATGCCCACCATCCAGGTCATCGACGTCTCCTCCCCCACCAAGTCCCACAACCCCCTGGATCCCGAGAGACTGGAACACAAAGGGAACCACATGACCCTACAAATCAGCTCCAGAGACACGAAGAGCCACCAGCCCCTAAAGATCAGTCAAAGCGAGCCGGCACACACCCATACCTTCGCAGAGACGGGCAAACATGCCTACCACTCTGAGCCTGCTAACCTTAATACGTAAGGACCAACCCTAACTCCCATATTTACCTAAAAAGACGACTAGCCTCCATTCACTGTGTCTGAACGACCATTAAACAGTGGGGAATATCCCAGATTTAGCCCCTTACACCATCCTCTTTGTGACTATCTGATGGATGACTTTGCGTGCCCTTGTTTTAGGTACAGGGCAACGGCCAACCGCAATGGCCAGGCTCTCCAGACTGGAGTGTGCTCTGTCATGTGAAGGGTCTTTGGAAGGACTTTGTGTGGAATTTTTTTACTAGGTAAATATTGAACTACTACACGTTAGACTCTTTATTTTAGTGCTGTAACGAGGTTGCATTATGGTAGTTTGTTTCTTATTAGTAATAGATATAGATCATCTAAATGTGATTGTATTGTGTGATTGGCCTCCCGAGTGGCGCAGTGGTCTAAGGCACTGCATCGCAGTGCTAGCTGTGCCACTAGAGATCCTGGTTCGAATCCAGGCTCTGTTGTAGCCAGCCGCGACCGGGAGACCCATGGGGCGGCGCACAATTGGTCCAGGGTAGGGGAGGGAATGGCCGGCAGGGATGTAGCTCACTTGGTAGAGCATGGCGTTTGCAACGCCAGGGTTGTGGGTTCGTTTCCCATGGGGGGCCAGTATGAAAAAAATTTAAATAATTAATGCACTCACTAACTGTAAGTTGCTCTGGATAAGAGCGTCTGCTAAATGACTAAAAATGTAAAAAATGTAAATATTTGACTAAGTGTGTGTCCCTCCTCTCCAGGTCAGTCAGACGACTTGGTCGTGTCTGCTTCCTTCCTGTCGGCCAGCCTAGGCACTGACACTGGCAAGTGGATTCTCAGGACGGCCAGTGAGATCCAGAATCTGCCGGGTTTCTGAAACAGTGCCTACAAACCACCCTGAACACATTCTAGACATACTGTACACTGACAGACACACACATACATGTATATAACAAGGTATTCCATGATGTCCAGGGCGGAGGGGCACTATGCTCACTAGGAACTGTGCGGTGTATGTATTATACCATGGACATCACATAACAATTTGTGTTATAACCCTTGAAGAAGGAGTTGATGTCAGGGAAAGGTTTGTTTGCGTCGTGGTGATGCGATGTGGAGCCAAGTTGTTGAAAGACCGCTAAATAAGAAGAAAAGGACTACTGTGTACATCACTATAAGACTGACTTAGGTGGTTGTGCTGTTCCATGGTGTGGAGAGATGGTCGAAACAGAAAGCCATCTTTGATGTGGAATATATGACCAAGCAGAATTTTATCACTATGTACATTGATGGGGGAAGTTGATGGGGAACATTGAGTCTCATGATGCTAAAAGGGATTCTTGTTAAAGCTCTTTTTGTTTCTCAATATTCTCTTGTTCTGTCATTCCCTTATGTTTTCTTTGTCAGGCTTTATTGTTCTAACATATTCACAACATTCTTTAACAAAGACATTTCTTGAGCGTATTAAGAAGTAAGCAAACAATAGTGTTATCTGTGTGCTCCCTGACAACTCATTACCAGTGGAAATACTATGAATGTACTCTTAATGACTTGCCAACTCACCAGCACTCATATTAATGAAGGGTGAGATTATAAATATCATTGTAAATCTAATTTATCCTTGTGCTGAAGAGATTTGGATAATAGTAATATAATATTATCAATACAGTAATAAAATAATGTCTCCATTAATACAAGGAGGTGAGTTGCTTCTGTCCCAAGCTCAGCGGAGCTTGCTGTTGAAGTTTTGTAAATATTCTATATGTTTTTTTTTCTCTGTAGCTTCATCGTCAATAAATAAAGTGTACACAAACAATCCTACGGCATTGCTTTTTTCCCTCTCTCTATGCTCGGTCATTCGGCCCAATTCAGTGACCTAGATCAGGGGCTCCAAACTTTTTCCCCAGCCCCTCTTATGTGCCCTTAGCCGTGGTATATTGGCCATATACCACAAACCCTTGAGGTGCCTTATTGCTATTATAAACTGGTTACTAACGTAATTAGAACAGAAAAAGTTAGTTTTTTGTCATACCCATGGTATATGGTCTGATATTTTTTTTACATTTTAGTCATTTAGCAGACGCTCTTATCCAGAGCGACTTACAGTTAGTGAGTTCATACTTTCAGCCAATCAGCATTCAGGGCTCGAACCACCCAGTTTATAATTAGTAATTCATTCCACATAAGTGAAGGATAAAGTGGTACAGCAGCAGTACAGGCTCTTTATTATTATTATTATCACAAAACACATATGAAATATGTTATTTGTCCCTATTACACTGTCCACCAAATCCCCCTCTTCAAAAATGCTCCTTTAAAGCAGCTAGCTAATCCAGTGTGAGAGTACTTTTTGCCTTCCCGCTCATGTGGTACGGATGAAAAGGTCCTCACATGAGTGCTACATGCAGCGTGAGCTTTCTTACCGACCCTTCCACCCCACCTCCCTCCCCTCCCAACCACAAGACAGTTGACTTGGAGCACAGATAACTGAGACAGACTGCCTATTCAGGCAAAAGAGCGTGGCATAGAACCCAGAAATATGGGGCAAAGGTCCCCAAACAGTCTACCAGTTTCCCTAAAGTAGCAAACATGCCAGTCCAGAGCCACAGCTTACTGAAACAGGGAGTCTGTGTAGTCGGTGTGGTTCTCCCCTCACACGTAATGGTCTTCCTGACAGCGTAATTGCAGCCATATTACGCACTATCACATCTAGGAAGTTTGCCATGGCCAAGAACCAGAAAGTGGGGAAAGGTTGAGTCTACTTTACACATGGCATGAGAATACAGAACATGAGTGTGAATCCCAGGATTACAGATAGTGATATGTGACAATGGAATTTTATAGTGGACTTTATAACCTTGGTCTGACTGGCAGTCACATTTTCAAGAATGTCAGTGGGTCTGGAGTGTGAAAAGTAGCCTGTTTAACAGTCACCAAGGTCTGAAAATGTGATACGTATTTCATTATTGCCATCAGTGCCATTTCAGTATTGCTGAAATGACAACACATGGCACTCTGTGACTAGTGACAGGGATCAGACTATTTCACAACAGAACCAGACGACTGCCCTCCTCTTGTCCTGCTTTGGGAAATCATGTCAAAGAGCATGGTGCTTCACACACACATTTTGGTCATTTAGCAGACGCTCTTATCCAGAGCAACTTACAGGACCAATTAGGGTTAAGTGCCTTGCTCAACGGCACAGACGACCTTCCGGTTACTGGCCCAACGCTCTTAACCGCTAGGCTACCTACCGCCCCACATCCAATGTAACTTCATCAATTTAACAACAATGTGAATATATACTGTAAATCCATTTGTTGTGGACACCCATAGGCTAAGGCACTGGAAGTCTAAGAGGCATTGGGACTTCCTTAAAGCTATCTGTACTCCTTTGTTTGATAAGGAGTTAACCTAACACTGCAGCTGGGGCATTCCAACCAATAAAGGGGTGGTCACAGAGATAAATTGATTGATCTTTATAGGGGTGGTACTCTAACATTAAATATTTCTCATTGGATACAAGTCAACCTTTCCTGATGGTGTTTAATGTACAAGACACTGGACACAAACCAACCAACCACACATGATGGTCAATGTTCAGCAACGTGTAGTGTTAGTCTTAGCTCTCTTTATTCTTCATTGTGGAGTTGTCAATTCCCTAATATAAAATGATAGTAGACATGTTGCAAAGACTCAGGAGAGAATATTGGAAGGGAGTTCAGGTCAAACATAGCTACTGCTGGTGTTTATCTTACTGTTTCACAAAATACAAGCTTCACTCTTATGATTAACTATTTGCCTAGTTCAACTTCAAAGTTTTGCAGGTAGATGAGACCCACAAAATGGGTGAGGTTTTCACCTTTGACATAATTTGACTTTCTTTTTTTGATGACACGTCAGCAAACATTGGACTGCATTGTAGAACGAACACTCATAGCACTGTTTAGAAGCAGTAAGATCAATGGGTTTCTGTAGTTGTATTACAGTTGAAGTCGGAAGTTTACATACACTTAGGTTGGAGTCATTAAAACTTGTTTTTCAACCACTCCACAAATTTCTTGTTAACAAACTATAGTTTTGGCAAGTCGGTTAGGACATCTACTTTGTGCATGACACAAGTAATTTTTCCAACAATTATTTACAGACAGATTATTTCACTTATAATTCACTGAATCACAAATCCAGTGGGTCAGAAGTTTACATACACTAAGTTGACTGTGCCTTTAAACAGCTTGGAAAATTCCAGAAAATGATGTCATGGCTTTAGAAGCTTCTGATAGGCTAATTGACATCATTTTGAGTCAATTGGAGGTGTACCTGTGGATGTATTTCAAGGCCTACCTTCAAACTCAGTGCCTCTTTGCTTGACATCATGGGAAAAATCAAAATAAATCAGCGACCTACATAAGTCTGGTTCATCCTTGGGAGCAATTTCCAAATGCCTGAAGGTACCACGTTCATCTGTACAAACAATAGTACGCAAGTTTAAACACCATGGGACCACGCAGCCGTCATACCGCTCAGGAAGGAGATGCTTTCTGTCTCCTAGAGATGAACGTATTTTGGTGCGAAAAGTGCAAATCAATCCCAGAACAACAGCAAAAGACCTTGTGAAGATGCTGGAGGAAACAGGTACAAAAGTATCTATATCCACAGTAAAACAAGTCCTATATCGACATAACCTGAAAGGCCGCTCAGCAAGGAAGAAGCCACTGCTCCAAAACCGCCATAGAAAAGCCAGACTACTGTTTGCAACTGCACATGGGGACAAAGATCGTACTTTTTGAAGAAATGTACTCTGGTCTGATGAAACAAAAATAGAACTGTTTGACCATAATGACCATCGTTATGTTTGGAGGAAAAAAGGGGAACTTGCAAGCCGAAGAACACCATCCCAACCGTAAAGCACGGGGGTGGTCGCATTATGCTGTGGGGATGCTTTGCTGCAGGAGGGACTGGTGCACTTCACAAAATAGATGGCATCATGAGGAAGGAAAATTATGTGGATATATTGAAGCAACATCTCAAGACATCAGTCAGGAAGTTAAAGCTTTGTCGCAAATGGGTCTTCCAAATGGACAATGACCCCAAGCATACTTCCAAAGTTTTGGCAAAATGGCTTAAGGACAACAAAGTAAAGGTATTGGAGTGGCCATCACAAAGCCCTGACCTCAATCCTATAGAAAATGTGTGGGCAGAACTGAAAAAGCGTGTGCGAGCAAGGAGGCCTACAAACCTGACGTAGAGGAATGGGCCAATATTCACCCAACTTATTGTGGGAAGCTTGTGGAAGGCTACCCGAAACGTTTGACCCAAGTTAAACAATTTAAAGGCAATGCTACCAAATACTAATTGAGTGTCTGTAAACTTCTGACCCACTGCGAATGTGATGAAAGAAATAAAAGCTGAAATAAATAATTCTCTCTACTATTATTCTGACATTTCACATTCTTAAAATGAAGTGGTGATCCTAACTGACCTAAGACAGGGAATTGTTACTAGGATTAAATGTCAGGAATTGTGAAAAACTGAGTTTAAATGTTTTTGGCTAAGGTGTATGTAAACTTCCGACTTCAACTGTACATAGCATCATACACTATCACCCTGACGCTCACTAGATAGTCGCTGAGTGATTAATGCTTTTCACGTTACAAGACTGCAGTAATACAGCAGCCTATACAGAACTACTACACTTATTAAAGATGCAGTCCAGGATCCTAAGCACTTACACATTTTAAATATATTGTACAAATTGGAATTCGTAACATATCATACGAATTGCACAACAACACGTAACATATCATATGAAATGGATGATGTCATATTTTCGGGGACCCGTTTTGGCTCGTGAGCACTACTTTCAAAACAACTGGCTGAAATTATACAAAACCTCACCATTGCATCTCTGTTTCATGACTCAAACACATGTGACTCACGTGATATTACTTGCACAATATATTTTGGCAAGATGGGTTTTTTTCAGTGACCTTGCCTTTGTACTGACTCTTGGCTGTTTCCAAAACAGCCCTGGACAAATGCCATTATAGAGTGCATCAGATATTGAAGACATTGCCTCAAAGCAGTTGACTCCACCACTGCACTTCCTCAACATCCATCATCATGAATATTCATCATTTGACACTTTGTGGGAGTTGACATGGATCTCATTGTGTATAAAACCAAGCACTTCTCATTGCATCTTTGCTTGGGGATGCTTGACTAAGACGAAATCTAAGGAAAGCTTTTAGGTCCCTATACACGTAAGTACATTTCAATATTTTCAGCTCTGTTCTGTGCAGTCTTCGTTCAATTTTATTCAGAATTGAACAGTGTAATCTACATTGTCAGAATATTTTAGATATTATCAGTGATATATTATTTAATGCATTATGATTATCATAAAATGTACAGTGGTCAGTACTAATAATTAAGCTAATTCGTTTTAGTTTAATTACCCCATTTGCAGAGCCATTGAATAGCCTATTAATTATGACATTTCCTTTTCCCTCCATAGACTGAACTTAAGACAATGGAGACCATAAACGAGATCATTCCATTCGCTAAGGAGATGCTGAGCCAGAAGCCCAGTCGGGGAATGATGAAGGTGTACCTGCTGGGTTCTACCATGGCGTTGTTTGGAGTGGTCGGTGGGCTGGTGGAAACAGTCTGCATGCCATTTTTTGAACAGGAGCCATTAGATGAGGAAATGATCAAGCTGATCACAGAGGAGAAGAAGAGGCAAATGCTGGAGCCAGAGATAACCACTGTCGAGCCTGATGTTGTGGATGAGTTGCAAACAGAGATTG